GATGTGAGAGCCTGGTCCGGTGAGAACCCGGCGTGCTCCGTCCCGGCTTTGTAGGGATGCGAGGTCAATGGTCTAACGACTACGGCATGCACGACTATGAGTACACCCCCCCCCCTCGCCATGGGCCATGCCTAAAGCCTTGCCGAGGCAGCGAGGGGAAGAAGGGGAATGTACCTCATGACAAATACTCCGGGGTATCATTGTTGGCAAAAACTATCGTTCCTCTCCCGGGGGGGTACCTCAGACAGGATACTCTGCCGCCGGGCTTGGCAAGAATGACGCGTGTCACCTGTGGCGAGCACAGCCTTGCTGTTGGGCTAACTTTGATCGCAATGAAGGACAATGAAATGTTGGCAGGAGCTCGTTTGAGGATATATCCGTGGCCCAAGAAAGATCGCTCGCCCTTTCAACCATGGCGCGCGTATGAGATGCCAGGGTTTCTCTGCCAAGTGTTTCCGTCACGCACAGGATACTTGCTGCAGGCTTGAACAAAAAAAGTGGAGCCAATATACTTCGGCGAGGCACACGTTCAGATATGAAGTGCTATCCGCTGGCACCGAGGAGCCCAAATCATCACCACCGCCAGAGTCACGACTACCAACAACAAGGAACCCCAGATGTGGACCGGCTGCTACTATTGACATGCTATCATTGACATGTGGACAAAAACAAACCGGGATTGGTGTTGTACAGCTGTAGAACAGCTCTCCGTGTCGACTTTTCACCAACAGACCAACAAGAACTCTTCCGTGTGGAACAGCTGCTATTCACTTGTAGCCAACAATAAAAACACACTTTCCGTGTGGACTCCAGCAGCACTGTTCACCGGTAGAAATAAGGACCTCACCTTGTCCTGGTCGAAGTACTGCCTCGAAACGAAGAGCACGCGGCAGCAAGATTTTTCGATCTGGTGGAACGCGCCGACAACCTTAGACGCCAGCACGCGCCCGCGGGTGCCGTCGTGCAGCAGGATCTCTTCGGGATCCACGCCCTGCAGAGCGGCGAGGGTCTTCGCGTAGCTCTGGGAGTCT